CAGCTAGTGGAGTCAAACCTTTGCGTTCCCAGGACAGCACTTAATGCTCCATGCCACCAGAGCTCCTTTCCATGCAAGCACGGTATGGAAAATTAGTGGGATGCCAACCGGACCAAGCAATCACAAGAATTAGTAGAAAGAAAAACATATTGACCCGAGGTGATGGAGGCAAAACTTTCTAGCCCCTGATGCTACAGTTGAAAGGTCTTCGCTTACAGTGTGAGGGAACTTAGAGGTTTCTAAGGGCTAGATACTACGAGAGGTGTCCTTGGGCTAGGCACTACTTCCTTTCCCCAAGAATGGGTAAGTACCTAAACAAGCTCCTAGTACACAGCGAGTGGGCCATGGGATGCACACACAGGCCGTGTGGCCCTCAGTTCTTGGAAGGAACTACCTGTGTCACGTCTGTACACCTGCACAGGTGCCTCTAGAACAGGAACTCTGAGCTCACGGCATTCTCTGTCATTCCTGCACAGGGAACCTGGTACTTCTCCCTCCAAATAAAGCTAGTTGCAACCGCCATGCTCACTGCATAGGACAGAAAACAAAACTGGCACAGGCACAAATGTGAGCGATAATTTTTCAGCTGGTTGATAAAACAAGCCAATAAAACAAGCTAAAGTCAAACAGCATCGTTATGCGGGTTCCATTACACTTTTCCGGGGGGCTCCCAGCTTCCAGTCAACGGGAGCCTCTGACAGCCCGAGCTAACAGCCAAGAGCAACATCTAAAGCAAATGGCCCTTTTACGGCAATGACGCTGTGCGTATTAGTATTGTTCTTGTAAAAGCTTATTGACTTGAGATGGAGGCACTTAATACATGTCATTGACTCTTTCATTTGCATGTGATTATATTGCTTTTCAAGGAGAGGAGCAAATGTGGGGGGAAGGGGGGAGGGGTTTGTGCGGGGAGAAGGGTGCAACAATGAATGAATGTAATCCCAAAATCTCTGTAGATGTTCATTGAAATGAAAAATAAACAACCTAAAAAAAAAAGTAACATATTTTAGGGCATTATGATTATCATAAGAGTTTGGTATGAGGGTTGCAGAGTGGAGTATACTCGGGGTGAGGGTGGGAGGGTGCGGGGGGATTGTATACCAATGAAGGAGTTTAGCTTTTGCTTTTAAAGAAGAGAGAACTGGGGGTGGGGGGTGCAGTGGGTGGGGAGAAAAGTGCAACAATGAATGAATGGAAATTCCCAATCGCTGTAAATGTCCATTGAAATTAATAATAATAATAATAAAGATAATAAAATGCATAATAAAAAAAGACATTCTACTGGGAAAAAGGTCTCAGTTTAAATGCTAAGCTCTTGCAATAAAGTTGGTTAGACTTGAAGTCCCCTTATTATAGACAGAAATGTTCTGGGGATAAGAAATAAGCAAAATTCCTTCCCTACACACATGATGCACACAGACATAAAAAAATAAACATGGCCACATGCGAATGCACATCACATTGCAATAGTGGCTCGTGATATCTCAATACACTTATGTAAGATGCTTATTTGTATGTCTCAGAAGGCAGTGAGTTTTCTGGTCCTGTCTCAGCTGCCCTCTCTCCGGGATGACTTGATAAACATGTGTGTAAGTCTCTGCTCTTGAGGCAGGGAAGGAGCAGGGAGGGCGCCCAGAAGTAATGTGATGGCTCGTAGAAGAAAGCTTTCTTAGAATAACTCTATATAATGACTCCATGTAGGAGACAGCCACACTGTCTAAGGGATCCAGAACCCAAACTCGGGCCTTTTGGAGCCAAGGCTGGTGTTGAATCCTAACTCAAAGTTCTTTTGAAAATGCATCAAGATCGAATAGGGGGACCCATCGGACTTGTTCAGCATTTCCCCCACATAAATTCTATTAGCTCCTTATATCCACCTTTGTATTTATGTCTGCAATTTCATTGACACCATCCTAAGCTCTCGGTTGGGCTATCTAACCTCTTATTTCCATTGTTTCTTATTTTGGTTGCCACACCACCCACTGAAGCCCGTCTGTATATGGATCTGGCTTGAGAGCACTGCATTTTCCTCTGCCCATCTTTCAAGACCTCCCTTGAGACCTACCTACTCATCTTCCTGACTTTTTCCCACTTCACTAATTTTTCATACAAAGTTCCACCAGTGTCTATTTGCACTGTCACTAAACACTGTGCACACATCATGCTAATGACACGTCAGACCTTCTAAAGCTCACCGCTCACTGGGGTGCCGGAGCACCAAGCAAATGCACCAGTCACTTCTGAACCTGAGTCAGCCAGTTTGTGAATGTGTAAGAGAGAGAGAGAGAGAGTACCAGGGAGTGGACGGCACCGGAGCTGAGACTCGGCACTCGGACAGTGAGGTATGGAAACGAGCTGCTGCCAGAGCAATCCTGGGAGGGAAAGGCAGCTGATCTCAAGGGAAGAGAAGGAACAAGAATGACAGCCCTTGCAACACCTCCATGATACATCTTCAAGGATATGAACATGCACGGCTAAGCACAGTGCATCTAAATTCCAAAATCAATCTCCATAATAGTCGATGTGTTTCCTACTGCCAAAGGGGCCCTTTAGAGTAGTGAGAGAAGATCTTCACCCTGAAACCCACAGCGTCCCTTTTCAGCAGGAAGTAGCTAAGAGAATACGCCGTCCCCTTTTCCTTATGAATCAGGGTGAAGTCTCTCTCAGGGAGGAGTGATAGGGAATGGCAAAGGACACACCGACAAAGGAGATTAATCAGAACTGGCTTTGACAAGCACTGTGGCAATGGGACAATTAAAACAGACATTCGGGGGGGGGGAGAACGAACTGGGGAGGAGGGTGGAGAAAACAGTGCAACAATGAATGAATGGAAACCCAAATCTCTGTAAATGTTCACTAAAACTAATAAAATTTAATAATAATTGTTTTTAAAAAAAGCATGACAGCCCCGCCTCCCACGACAAAGACTCTTCCTCTCTCTGACCCTTTGGTCTTTAAACATCAACCTCTGGCGTTAAGTCACCCAGTCAAAATAAGGATTTTTCCAATGACAGCGCCCTATAGGACAGTAGACTAAGACACAGGCAGAGAACCTACAAGCAGAGAAAGATAGCTGAGGATAGTTTTTTCTAGTAGAGCTTTACCACAGTTCATGTTATTTCATTAGCATCATGCTGAGGCAAGGTCATCAATGGAAAGTCACCCATCCAACAACCGTTTATGAAGAACCTACTATGCACCAGGCATTTGCTAGGTGCCTGGGATACACAGAGGAAAGATGTCTGGCCCTTGCTCTCAAGCAGCTCAAGTCTAGTGAGAAGACAAACACGCAAATGAAGAGCTCTAACAACACGTGTCAGTCAAGGTGAAGCCCAGAGGAAGCAGCTGGTAGGTAGGTCTGATAGAATCACGGAAAGTGGTAACAGACAACTCACAGGAGAAACAGAACTTCGCCAGGAAGACAAGCGAGGGCAGGGCTAACATCTAAGCGGAGAGCACAGCAGGCACAAGCCCAAGGAAGCATGAAAAACGCATGACGGGCTGCACTGTGTGCTTTCGTGGGACCAGGACTGACCTGAAGAGGAAGGAGTCGTGGAACATGAGGCCAGAAGGAAGTGTGAAAGCGGGCACTGAAGATAAAGACACTGGATTTTATTCCCCTGGAATTGGTAAGAAGGCACTGGACACTTCAAAACAGACAGAGGAGGGCAGATTGTCCTGTTAGATTAACCTTCGTGCACAACTGTTTGCAAGAGAGGTGAAGCTAAAGGGGGAGAATGAGGGAGGAGGGGTTGCCACAGAAATCCGGGCCCCAGAGGCACCTGGCTGGCTGTAAGATAGTGAGGATGGAGAATAAAACTTGATGAACAATGATACGAAAAGACAGTGTCTCTCTGAAATGAGACAATCTTGAAAACACAGGCTTTGATAGTATAGTCAGCAGCCCCCATCTTCCCGTCTTCTGAGGTTCCCACTGTCCTCTGAAACCAGTGTATCTGCCAACGATGGGAGAAAGGGAGAAAAAGTCAGAGGGAACTCACAGCCGGATTACTCTCACTCACTCACCCACCACTAACTTGGAAACTCCAACAAATCCGACCCCAGTGGAGCAAGAATTTCAACCTACTTTCTTCCTCTGTGTCTCTTCAAGCATTTCGTCAACTGGTAACTGGAACGCAATCTGCAGGCCATGGCATCTTCCAGTCAAATGCTTGAGGTACAGTTGGCAGCTATGCTTACATGGTGGTATTCGAGGGGAAACTCACTTAGAGTCACCCACCCAGGGACCACCCTGCCTGACATCAAATCATTAGCGATTCATTCCTCTTGGAGAGGTATTAGCCCCTCCAGGCTTCTCTGTTACAAGGTAAAGATTCCTGAGATGGTAGGTCATTTAGTCATTCTAAACCCAGTGGGATCTCTGTTGATCATAATGCCTTCTGTTTGACAGAAAGGGTCAGGGCAGTATAAGAGATTTGTGTAGGTACCTGTAGAAGAAGGTTATGTAGAAGGAAAGTTGGAGAATACAGAAGGTCACAAGATCTTGCCAAGGGATAGTCCTTTAAGCACTCAAGACCAAGATTTTTAAAGAATGTCTTCCACTTCTGGTTCCAGCAAATAACACTTGTTCATTCTTTACGTGCTTATAATAGGCCATTGGTTAAAGGCTTACCATGATGCAATTGTTTCATAAATGTCATACAACTCATCACAAATTAGAGTTGAAAATGATAGGAATTTGTACATAATATTACCACAAGTGTATTTTCTGAAACTATTTTATAACTCTAGCTTTTCATTCACTCAGAATGGTCTTATCTTTGGTCATTCCACATTACCAAGACTTAGCTAGTTGCCAAATATTCATCAGGTATACCCCAGGGACTGAGGCTGAGGACTCAGACCCGTGACCTTAAAGCATCTCATATGCAGCAAAACCAGGTAGACAAGTTATTTGTAAATAGTTGAACATGGAAATTAGAGCAGTGAGCTCTAACTGGGGAGAGGGGGAGGGGAAAAAACCTTTTCAAATTACTTACTTCATTTGTTTGAAGAATCGTGAACTTTGGCAGTTTAGTCTTTGAACTGGCTGCACTGGGCTTTCCATCCAAGAGTGATCCAAATGAGAGATTCCCAAAGCTGTTCTCAAATTCAATGGAGGGCTTCAGGGTTGGCGAGATGTCTGGTGCCTGGTCCTGGCCATCCATGGGTCTTACATATGCAGTAGGCTTTTGCTGCCCCATACTTGGTTTGCAGTAGAGCCCTGCTGGGAAGTTTTGAACTGAAAGGCCACTGCTGGGAGCTAATAGAGACGAGGCAACTAGGGGAGACCCAGGCGCTTGCACTGTAAACTCTGATTCTCCCGGTGAGTTAGATTGAAATATTTCTTTGAAAGTCTCCTCTCCATTGGGTTTGGGATTAGCGTCTTCATTGGCCGATGGGTTTGACTCTTCAGCTGCTCCAACCTGGGGCTGCTCAGCTGGGTAGACAAAGAAGTCTTCCAATCTGGCTGGGGTCTGGTCCTGTGTAGACACTTGGATCTTGTTTGGCTGACTGTTGGCCTGGCCCGCTGGTACCGTGCTGGGGTTAGGACTTTCTCGTGGCCAGTCAGGCTTGGCTTTTCTGTTGCTGTGTATTAGAGTTGAATTCAGTATCACCACAGAAGGTGGAGGCATTGGTGCTGAGGGGTGAGTGCTATCCTGGTGAGGTGGGACTATTCGGTTCTTTTGTTCTGGAAAAAAGCTTGGCTCGTTTTTGTTGACGGGCGTCTGCGGCACAGAATTCTTTGGAATCCCCACTAGATGGTTCTGATTAGAATGGTTAGTTAGCAAATCCTTCATTTCATCATAGTTCCCCAGCGTGTTCTGGACTCGGTTGGCAAGTGCATCGCCTCTGTTTGTCTAAAATAAGAAAAAGATGGGGATGGGAGGAGAAACAATGAATAGGTTTGTGTTTCCTAAAGTTAATGTAACCAACAGATGCCCCAAGTTATACTAGCATATAGCATTCTTGAAAATTGTCATGCCGTCATATAATTTCATACTATGTGCTCTCTAAGGAAAAAATATCAGAAATGTTATTGAAAGAGCTTCTTTGGAATGAGCTAATGTGAATAATGTTTGTGTACTACCTGGTCTATCTTTAAAGATGCTCACTGGGAGAAATTATGTTTCTATGACTTTTATGATAACCATAAAAATTGCCTCTGCCTGCCTACATATTCTAACAGCAATTGTGTTTGTTCACCTATTGATGGTTCACTCTCGTTTGCTCTGAAATGGTGCAATGAATAAGATAGTTGTTCATAGGGTTGCTATGGGTCATGCTTGACTCGACAGCATTTAACAAAAACATGAAAGGAACTGAATCATTACATTCTGTACCGTGATTAATAATGTTTACTTACTGATCATTGGAACATCAAAGGATGTGCAACTTAGATATGTTCTTGACGAATCAGCCGTGAGAACTACATTATACCATCCAAAAAGCTTAGTCCACTGAATAAGAATCAGTTAAATTGTACCAACATGGTTACACTGCATTTAAAAAAGGCATAGGTTTAAAAACATCCACTCTGGAAGGCAGTTTGGCATTTCTTCAAAAAGCTGAACAGAGGAATTCCATATGACCCAGCTATTCTACTGCTTGCAGCAAACACTGAGAGAATGAGAACTGAGGCATAAACGGAGACTTGTACACCAGTGTTCACTGCAGCATTATTCACCATCGCAAAAACATGGAAACAACCCAGATGTCCAAGCACAATGGAATGGATTGAGAAATTCTGGTACATTCACACAATGAAATACTATGCAGCACGCAGGAGCAATGATTTTGTAAATTACTACCTAACCTGGGAGGGACTGGAGAGCATTATGCGGAGTGAACTAACTCGGTCCCATAAGGGCAAATGCTGTATAAGACCATTACTCTAGAAATAGAAAGGTAACTAGTAAAATGTGTATAAGGATCCAAGGGAGAGAGGGTAGGAACAGCAGGGTGGGGGGGGGTGTTAATCATAGGGTCACATAATTTGATGGGTAGAGGGACAAGTGGGTAAGGGAAATGGGGATGATCTGGTGTGAAAAACAATGAACATGAACTTTGTAAGTAAACTGGTATAAAATAAAAATTTTATTGAAAAAAAAAACCCCAACAAAATATCCAATTGAGCTAAATTATGACTAAAGCAAATCCACATAATTTCTTGTAATCAAAGAATCCTATAAATTGTCCATGTCTCCCCACATATTCTAGCAGCAGTTGTGTTCGTTTACTCTGAAATGGCGCAACTGTTCATCAACAAAGACTCCAGCTCTCCTGTGTCTTCTCATAGATTTAGAAAAATCTGTTCAAGATTTGAACCTGTTGGTTAAATAAACGAGACCTTCACTCTCAGAGTGCTAACTGGCCTGACTCACAGCAGTGGCGCCCACTTCCCAAACACCACACCTCTGGAAACTCTCTGAACTTTGAGAAATGTCGGTAGCTGTAGAGGGGCTTCAGGCCTTTTGTTCACAGGGTCCCTATGAGCCGTGCTTGACTTGAAGGCAGTCACAAAAACAACAACAATTGGTCTAGCATGCAGCTTCAGAGGCAACGAAAGTATTCTATAAACAATCAACACTCCAGCTTCTCCATCCACTGTTTACCAAAAAGCCAAACGCCTCTGGACCCTCTAGGGCAGAGGAGAACTTCCGCATAGGGTTTCCAAGGCTGGGCATTTTGATGGGAGCAGAGGCCCTCATCTTTCTCGCACAGAGATGTGGTGCATCCCAACTGTTGACCTTTCTGGTTAGCAGCCTAGAGCTTAATTCACTGAGCGACCAGAACCTCTTCAATTCCCTATCACTCATTCACTAAGTGATTGGCAATGAGCCCTGAAAGAATAGACTTACCCTATTAAAATGGCTGTTTCTAAAAGATTTGGGCTTTGCAGTAAAGATAGTGCAACTTACACGATGAGAATTCAGTGGGTCGCTGTGTATTTGGAAACACCTCTGATGAAAGCTCAGGGTCTCTTCTTGGAATGTGAGTTCACATGCTGAAAGTGTTATCAAAACAAGTTGCTGGATTCAGGAAGGTGAATGGCTTTTGTTGTGCCTTCACTGCACTAAGTGGCCCTGGACACTACAATGAAGGTACTAACACCTAAGGGGCCATTTGGCAGCACAGCCAAAGGATGAGAAAGACAGGCACCCTGAGCGCTTGTCATGTCCAAGGAGCCAGAGGAACATATGCTGTGCACAGGCGAGGGTGACCACCTCCTGACTAGCATGTTCTCCGAGGAATACAGATATGAGGCAGCTACAGTCTCCCACCAGCTGCTCGTAACCTAACCTAGCCTAGCCTCCAGGTGGATGCAGGAAATGTGCCTACTCCAGTCCAGGATCTAACTGCAGTGGCATGGCAGTGTTTTGGGTTAGGGTTAGGGATAGGAAGACGGAAGAGTGATTGATCTGTGTGTGGGTGGATGGAAGGTGATTTGCTGGAAATGGATGGAGTCACCCAGGAAACGTGAATGTGGAAAGAGAAGATCAGGCTCAGGAGGGAACAGTGACTGGGCAAAGCCAACACTGAAGAGACTAGAGAGGAGACAGCAAAGAATACGGAGAACGACCAACCGAGCAGAATCCGGCCAGAAACCCTGGCCTCACGCTCAGCATCACCTGCACCGACTGTACAAAGTAGTAAACTCAAGGGGGTTCTGCGGGGGTGGCACCTACAAGTCAAATAAGTGCATTTTCATTTTTATTTTCTTTTTAAAAAAATATTTTCTTTTATACTGATTTAGACAAACACATTGCTTATCATCACTTTTTACTGGATCTTTGCCATTTCCTTCACCCCCCCCCCCGTCCTCCACCTCTCCCCACCCATCAAATTGTGTGACCCTATGATTAATAGCCCCTCCACCCATCCTCATCCCTCTGCTTCCACCCTCTCACCCCCTTGGATCCTCATACTCATCCACAATAATGATCTTCTTATACAGTATTTGTCCTTATGGGACCGAGTTAGTTCACTCCGTATAATGCTCTCCAGTCCCACCCAAGTTAGGTAGTAATTTACAGTCATTGCTCCTGCATGTTGCATAGTATTCCACTGTGTGAATGTACCATAATTTCTCAATCCATTCCATTGTGCTTGGACATCTGGGATGTTTCCATGTTCTTGCAATGGTGAATAATGAATGCTGCTATGAACATTGCTGTACAAGTCTCCGTTTGAGTCTCAGTTCTCATTTTTTTTTTGGGGGGGTGGTATATTCCAAGCAGTGGAATAGCTGGGTCATATGGAATTTCTATGTTCAGCTTTTTGAGGAAGCATCAAACTACCTTCCAGAGTGGTTGTACCATGTTACAATCCCACTAACAATGTATAAGAGTTATTATCTCTCCACACCCTCTCCAACATTTATTACTTGCTGTCTTGCTAAACTTTGTCACTGCTACTTGAGTGAGACGATATCTCATTGTGGTTTTGATTTGCATCTCATATTCAACAAGGAAATTAAACCTATCAAATGGGAAAATGACAACCTCTTCAACAAATGGTGCTGGTGAAACTAGACTGCCACCTCCAGAAAGCTGAAACAGGATCCATATTTTAAACCATACACAAAAAATCAACTCAAGGTATATCAGAGACCTGGGAGTAAGCACCAAACAATAAAGTTCATAAGAGACAAACTGGGACTAAGCTTAGAAGATCTATTCTATAAATACAGCCAGTAAAGCACAGTCTGAAGAGGGTAAAACTGATGCACGGGACCTTCTAAAGATGAAATCTCTGTGTGCATCAAAAACTTTTTCCAACAGGGTGAAAAGAAAACCTACCAACTGGGAACAAACATTTGGCAATGCCATTTCAGACACGAGTCTCATAATGAAACTTTACAGAATACTCTTGGGCCTCCACAAGAAAAAAACTGATAAACCAATTACAAAATGGGCAAAAGACATGGAAAGAATTTTCACAGAGGAAGATCTCTGAATGGCCAATAGACACATGAAGAAATGCCCAAAATAATTTCCATTTTCTTATTGGCAGGAACATCTTATACACATGCACTCTTGGTGTTGAAGCCATGATTTAACAATTAATATTCCTCATATTCCTCAGCCGAGTAATGCCTCTGTTTTCAGGATCACTATTAGAAAGACAAACTCAACAGGTACAGGCAAGGATAAATCATTTTCATTCACTTGAAGTCCCTAGGTTTGTCATTTTTAATGACAGAATTCACATTTTCAGCTGAGGCAAGAATGAAATGCTTTGTATAGAGAAGGCTTCTGCAGCCGAGTCACACAATGAAGCATTTGGGCAGCAGCCAACACTAGCTGCCCCATTCAGTCCTTAGTTTTCAAATGAGATCCCACTGTATGAAGAGCCTGGCAGGAATTTGATGAAAGCTTTCCATCCTTGCCGGGTAGCTTTGGTTCTTTCCCCCTTTGGCCAGCTGTCTGCCTCAGGAACACTGATATCTGGCTGTCCTCAAGGGTCTGTTCTACCTAGGGGGGGGAACTTCCATCTTATGTCCTATTTGAAATACTGTCATCTTGCTATCTGACTTGTGTTTCCTCCAGACAAGACCTTAAGGCCCATTTATTCACAACCAAGCTAGCCACAGTCCTGTTCTGTTCCAGAAGTAAGCATGCTGACTTATCCTCACTTTTTTATCTTATCTCCATTGATGGGAACCTTGGTTACATGTTAATGGTTCTTCATTTATATTGACCATTATCATGAGCTCAATTTTAGATGCATGTTCATATATATAT